TTCCCCACCGGAGCAGAGTCCTTGTCAGATGCTTTGTCCCAGCATGTGTGAGTGAGGAATTACACATAGAGAGTGGGTTGCAAATAAATCTCTCTACCCTCTTTTCCTTGGCTATGTGCCTGGCTAAGATAAAAGGGGAAGCGAGATGATTCCGGAAGAGAGGCTACAAATCATACTGCTGTCTTCCATAACCCGTACACCAGGACAGCGTCAGTCAGCCTCTCATGGACTTAGAACTGAGGGTCAGAGGGGAGAGATGACCTAAAACATTAGACATGTGAAGGGACTGTCTTCCTGAAGTTGCCCTGTTCCCCAAGAAGCAGATTGTGCATCCTTGCACAATGTAGGAGTGTATACTCTCTTCCTACCACCTCCTTTAGGCTGACACTGCAATTCCTGGCGTTAGTGCTCCACAGAGGGAGATAATGTCTGGTGGACCTGCTTAGCAGTGGATGCCCCAGCCACCTTTCTTCTTTGATGCATGAGCACGCAGGCAACTCAGCGCAGCCACACTCCGCACGATGCTGCCTCTCCTGCTGGGCGGTAGAGCTGGGCTGGGCCCACGAGGCTTGGGAAGAGGGCCCAGTATGGTAACGTCTTTAATGCAGGGGCATAAAGATTGGTTAAGGATTTATATCACTGCACAGCAGACAGGCTGTCTTACTTTTTCCAAGTCAGTTCCCTAGAAACACTAGGCAACAGCGAACAAATCGAAATATTAAAATGCAGTTGGTCTGAGGCTGCTTTCTCCTTTGTGTTGTTCATTTACTCCCTTCTCTACTCTGATTCCTGATGCCAAATAAACTTAGACCTAGGCTTAAAATGCCAGAGCCCTCACAGATGGATGGAGGGAAGCCAGCACAGTGGTATCCGTCAGTGTGGGCTGAGCCTGGGACTCACCAATGCACAAAAACCATGATGCATGCACGTAGGCCCACCAACTTCAGGGAAAATGGTGGGGTTTGTAAAGTGACTCAAGTGCATCCCTGCTTCTGGAACTGGACTCTGAGCAGGCAGCATTTCTCTCCCAAGGATGAAAAACACCCTTCCCTGGCTGTTGAAAGAAACACGGGGACATCACAGCAGCAGGTTCAGACATGATGCTACGCGATGGGAAAGGCACAGAGCTGAGAGGAGCCCAGTCTGTCACCTGGAGTGTGCGGGGTGCTACAAGGCACTGGGGTTGCTTCAGGCAAATTCCCTGTGTGTTGTGCAGACGCATCCCTGGCAAATGGTCTTGCCAAAATTTTGGAGAAAGTTTCCTCAGCACCTTTTTCCCAGGGACTGAGTTGCTAGTTCACTGGGAAAGACCAGTGCTGACACTTCCCCGACCTAACTAATTTGGCATAGGAGACATGGACTTATTTTACACAATAATTTCCTCACCGTTCTTTTGACAGGAATCTGGTTTTCATCTCCATGAAGCGGTCTTTCAGAAGCGCTCAGTGAACCCCACGCCTGGCCCGCACGCGCAGCAACGCGCAGTGCTGGGTTAGCTGCCGCTGCACGTGCTGCCCCTGCCTCCCCCTCCCCGCTGACGCGGAAGGTCTCCGGGATGCGTTAAGGCTTTGAAGCAGCACAAAATTATCCCCACATCACACCCCAGTGATTTTTCAGGCACTGCAGCATCCCTCATGCCTCCTTGTCTGTATTCAAGTTCTTCCTAAAGACTCATTTTTCTGAGGCCAGCGAGACATAAATTACCCATTTTTCTCATTCCCTGAGTAGTTACTTGCTCTGAATTTGGCCCTTTCCCAACCTGTTGCATCTTCTAGAGTGTGATTTTCAAGGCATTGACTTCTTTAAGGCATGATTCCTAGAAAATACTGCAGGGTACTCGAATGCAAAAATAGAAAGCCTCAGTCTTGAATTGAGTCTGACAGGCCTTTTAAGATGACGGAAATTTGAACAGAACTGAATTTGACAAAAATTTTAAGATGATGGAGATTTGAACTAAAACTGCTAATTTATTTCTATAAACGGTGGCTTGTGTGTGCAGAGCTGCAGTGGAGCCCCAGGCTGGGTTTCTCCTCTCCCCTTCAGCACTGCAATGTTCCCTTTTAGTGACAGAAAACAAAAATCAGTATTCCTTTTCTATCTCATGTGCTTGTTATTCCAACTAAATTATAAGAAGCTGATGTGATTCACTGCATTACCGTGCACCTTCTCATCCATTAGCTCCCTCCAAAACCTCCGCAACCTCCCGCCAGCAAGAAGAGAAAGCGAGTGAGTGATGACGTGCCAGAGTGTAAGCCTTTGAAGCCATTGCTGAGCGGCTCCATTCCTGTGGACCAGTTTGTGCAGGCGCTCGAGAAGGTAATAAGTCTTTGGTGGCAGGTGAGGTTCAAGCGGATTTCTACTGATCTCAGAAACGTGCTGCTGTGCTAGCAGAGAGAGGGAAAATAATTTTAGTGTAGCTTGAAATGGAGAGGGGCTAATGAGCTAGCGCAGTACCTCAGGGAACGTCTGTCCCTGCACTGAGGATGGAGGGAATAATTCCCTGTGGAGTCGTGTCCTGATACGGGGGCTTCATGTCAGTCATTTCCTCCTGGTTACCCATGGAAGCAGAGCTTTTGGGGTCACTCTGGGTGGGTGAATTTCCCCTGTGTAACTTTTGGATTCATCAGCTGATTTCCAATAAATTTGAACAGTGGGGAGGAGGTCTCAAAAGTATTTAAGTTCCTACAAGTTTTGTGAAAATGAGGTGACCAAGTGAAGAAGAGATTCTGGAAATGTCTCCACTGATGGAGAACCTTTCTGCAGGACATGGGGCTTGGTGGCTGAACTTGCAGGCAGGTGGTTACTGCTCTGTGGAGCCCTGTTCTCGCCTGCACGACTCCTTGGAGAAAATTGGCAGGAAAAAGGGCAGGATTGTCTGTGAGGAAGTTTGCCCTGGGGTTCAGTAGCTCTCCACCATCATCTTTGAGGCAGTAATGTCAGCAGATGGTCATTTCTCTAGTTAAAGGAGCCATTTGTCCTCTTTGTCTCTCAAGATTTTGCAATTGCAGTGACCTGGTGTAGCAGAAAATGTTGTCTTTAGCCTCCCTGTTCTATAGTTTATCCATCCGTATAACGAGGGTCGTATTTAGCTTAGCCTATGCGTGTTTCCTCTGCAAATCCCAACGATCTAGGATATTTGCAATGGCACTCCGTATTTTGTAGCCATTCTCCCCTCTCCTCCCCGCTGTGCCCTAGTCTTTCATCTCTACCTGTTTTCCTGAGTTGTAGTAACATCTGGGTTAAAAACTGGCTGGACGGCCAAGCCCAGAGCATGGTGCTAACGGAGTCAAACCCAGTTGGTGGCCGGTCACCAGTGCTGTTCCCCAGGGCTCAGTGCTGGGGCCGGTCCTGTTCAATACCTTCACTGATGATCTGGATGAGGGGATTGAGTGCACCCTCAGTCAGTTTGCAGATGACACCAAGCTGGGTAGAAGTGTCGATCTGCTGGAGGGTAGGAAGGCCCTGCAGAGGGACCTGAACAGCCTGGGTTGATGGGCTGGGGCCAACTGTATGAGATTCAACAAGGCTCAGGGCCGGGTCCTGCACTTGGGGCACAACAACCCCAGGCACCGCTGCAGGCGTGGGGAGGAGCGGCTGGGAGCTGCCCGGCGGGAAAGGGCCTGGGGGTGCTGGTCGACAGCCGCTGAACATGAGCCAGCAGTGTGCCCAGGTGGCCAAGGGGGCCAGTGGCATCCTGGCTTGTGTGAGGAATGGTGTGGCCAGCAGGAGCAGGGCAGGGATCATCCCCCTGTGCTGGGCACTGGTGAGGCCGCCCCTCGAATGCTGTGCTCAGCGCTGGGCCCCTCACCCCAAGGCGGCCATGGAGGGGCTGGAGCGAGTCCAAAGAAGGGCAACAAAGCTGGTGAAGGGTCTAGAGAACAAGTCTTACAAGGAGCGGCTGAGGGAGCTGGGGGTGCTCAGCCTGGAGAAGCGGAGGCTGAGGGGAGCCCTCATCGCTCTCTGCAACTGCCTGAAAGGAGGCTGGAGCCGGGGGGGGACCGTCTCTTCGAGGGGCAGGGGCTGAGTCCCCATCCCTGGGAGGATTAAAAAGCCAGGGAGATGTGGTGCTGAGGGACATGGTTTAGTGGTGGCCTTGGCAGTGCTGGGTTAACAGTTGGGCTCGATTATCTTAAGGGTCTTTTCCAACCTTAATGATTCTATGATCTCTCTCTTTTTCTCCCTCCCTAACACTACATCTAGCATGGTTTCAGTGATGTGAAGGTGGAAGACACAGCCAAAGGCCACATCGTACTCCTCCAGGAGGCAGAAACCCTCATTCAGATTGAGGAGGACTCCACACACATCATCTGCGACAACGATGAACCTTTGAGGGTGAAACTGCGTGACCTGGTTCTCAAATTCCTGCAGAAATTTTAACTCATGGACATCATGCTGCTCTGCAAGGGGACACCCCAGAGCTAAGAGCTTTCCAGAGGATGACCCCAGGGAGAGAGAAAATTTCCTGATTCAGAGACCAGAAACCACCTTCCCCTTCATGGAGAAGCAAGGAAGTATTTTTTAATATCTATATATTTTTTTAATTTTATTTTTAACCTGTTTTGGAATACTTTGGAGGGGATTCCTGTGATGTAAAATTGGGAGTTGGAATCTTGTAGGAGATACAGACTGCAGAGTAAGTAAATAGAGTGTATACTTAGCAGGTCAGGGTGAGATTGTGTGCAGATGCAGGCATTTCTCTGTGTGACCCTCTCAGCAACGTATGCCCTGGTCCTTTCCCTGAGAAAACACTGTAAGAATATTGAAATAATGGCCTCGGATATGAAGAGATTTCTTTTTCTCCCCACTGCTTCTTCCTGGTCACCAGATCCAGTTTCCTGCCTGTCCTCCATTTGCATTGTGCACGTGTATTTCACTGGCACGAAGAGGAATGAGAAAGCTGGTAAGGCAAAGATGGTAAAAACAAAAATAGAAAAAGGGGGCTATGCTGGACAGGTAGAATAGCTTTGAAGCGGCAGGAGCCTGGCCATTCCCTGCAAAAGCAGAGGGATTTTGGAAAAGCTCTATGCTTTGGCAGTGCAAGGTGCTTATTGATGCTGCACCCTCACCTGTTGTGACCAGATTTGTCCACCCAGCTCTAGGCTCTTCACTGAGACACGCAAAGACTGGTTCCTCCTGGGTTCCTCCATCATCAGGGGAGGAGGTATCTCAGGAAGATACTTTCAAAAATACATAAAGTAGTTAAACTCCTAGTGCTCATGAAAAACCTTGGATATTTAAGTGCCTCTTGTTTCTACCTTCCAAAACCTTGTCCTTTCAGCCCCCACAATGCCAAATCCCAGTTGAAATACTGAGTCATTTATACAAAGCCATCTGTACTGCAGACCTGGGGAGGTTTTTCACTCCCAAAATCATGTATTTGGGGCCTAAACTTAGTTAATAGTATTGCTTTTAAAAGCGACCAATTTCTCAGATTTACTGCTGTTTGGTTTTTATTGGATTGTTTTGTATTTATTTGGTGTTAAAAATAAAAAGCATAGTAAGACTGCCAAGGAGGAAGCACATTCTGTGGTTTATAAAAGCATTTGCATGCCTATTCCACGTCCGCCTGTGCGTGTATATACACATTTGTGAAATATAACTACTCCTTCAGTTTATAGCTTTGGGGAGATTAAGGCAGTGGAAGAACAGCTCCGTAATAAAAACTATTTGCTATTGCGGTTTCCACATCACATTTCGTACACATTAAGGATCTCTGTTCGATTGGATGTACAGACTCCAGCATCCGTACCTCTGCTCTGTGTGTACGTCATGGGCGTGAGAGAAATAGTAGCATTAGTGTGATAAAAATCTTGTTGCAGTAGCATTAATCCCCATAAGAGCTTACAACATTTGCAGTAGTTCAGCTTCTTTATCATTTGAAAATGGAATAATAGAATTGGACATATTTCACCTTGTAATTAAATCTCCAAAACGATTATTCTTAACACAGAGAGGCCGTGTGATAAAGTCGGCTGAGCTGAGGAGGCAGGGGGAGAGGGAAGAGTGGGCCTTGTCGTGTCTGAGTCCTCGAGAGCAGCTCCCACCTTGTTACCTAGACCAGCTCCAGCCTTGGTCCCAACGAGGTCCCCATTTTGTGAATATACTCGTTTGCATTTATAATTATAAGGGACTTCACTCGTTGCTTTAAGAAGCCAGGCCCGAGGCCGTGCGTTAGTGCTTGTTGCATCCACCTTGGCTGAGCACGGGCAGCCCGGCGGTGTGCCGGGGGGCCGACCGCGAAGGCAGTAGCTTCTGCTTGGTGAAGGCTGGGCTCGGGCACCGGGGGGTTAGGAAATCCGAGTTGGTGTGCTGCTGTGGAGGACCCGGAGGGGACCTGGGAGGGAGCAATCAGAAGGTGTGGCGACTCACCACGAAGAGCTTATTTTGGGGCAAAGAATGAGGGAAAAGCAGTTTGCTGGCACAGTGAAAGCAAACCCCAAGCCTGAAATTGTATGGGCAGGGCCGGGTCCTGCACTTGGGGCACAACAACCCCAGGCACCGCTGCAGGCGTGGGGAGGAGCGGCTGGGAGCTGCCCGGCGGGAAAGGGCCTGGGGGTGCTGGTCGA